AGAACAGGGTTCAGATGAGGGTTCATACGGTTGCTATGAGTCATACTCCGCTCTGTGGCACCTAAAAACAACGGTGTGTGTATAGGTATAGATATGATGAAACGTTCATAATTTTCTACATGTGCAGTTCAGTGACTAGCACACTCGGCTACCTCAGTGTTGTGAATCGTTAGTTGAATTCTTCCCTGATCAGTGTCCTGGAGACCATCTTCCCCCTCAGTTCTCTCCTGGTGGTCTGGGCAGGGTGAAGTCATAGCTACCAGTCTCAACTGTAGACTGCTCACAGCATCTGGAGTACTTAGGGAGACAGGAAGTTCTTGGAGAGCTCTGAACTGGAAGATGGGAGATCTGGGGGTTCAACAATGTCTTTGGTTAAAGTCTTCTACCTGTTTCCTCCTAACCAAATGGGAATTTACGACAGATAATATATGCAAAAGAGCTTTGAGATCTTGGAAACAGAAGCACAGTGTATATACCCATGAGATGATTATGCATGGAGAAAACTGAGAAGGGATACCAGTCAGTGCTCAGACCTGCAGCATTGGCTACACTATGGACACACTGGAAATAAATGCAAAGTCTTAGGCCACATCCCACACTTACTAAAGGAGAAATTGGGCAGGGGGAGGTGGTCACTGCTTCCGACTTGAGGAACCCTCCAGGTGATTGTGAAGCACGTGGAAGTTTGGGAACCACTGACCTAGCCTTTCAGATTCTGTAGTTTAAGGGTTAAGGTATTTTCTGTTTTGACAGATGGTTCTCAAAGTGACTTTTGACCCCTTCCTTAGTTAAAGCCAGCTCCATTATTGGAGGAAAAGAGCCACTTTGTCCTCAGTCTTTGCAAGAAAAGGAGAAAAATTCCTACGTTGACAGTTATTTTTTACACTAGCAGGAGAAAGTACCCTGGAGAGCTTGTTAAGGAGACAGGCCTGAGAGCGTCTCCCTGCCCCCTTCCCTCAGAGGTACTATGTGTCTGCCTCACCTCCTGCCCTGGGCCTGCTGCTGCTCAAGCAGGTCCTTAAAAGGAGCACCGGCTGCCACGTTTGTTCTTTCTGGTGCCAGGTCTGTGCTATTTCACTTCCCCGGGCGTCAAGTGGATGCTTAATGAGGGGCTGTGACGTAGGGCCAGCAGACTAGTTGACAGAAAGCAGCCTCAGCCTGTGCTTTGTGCTGCCTCTTCTCATTCCTTTTGCCTTGAGTTCTCTTCTCAGTAGGGAGATGGTCACCCTGCATCAGGCCTTCCTCAGAAACCCTGATAGCCCTTGCTCAGAAAGAGACTCTAGGGCTGGGCCTATGGACACTGATAAAGGACTAGAGGCGGAAGGGAAGTATATCTTTAGGGTTTTTTATTCCCTTACCCCCTCCCCCCACAATTTAGTCCTAAAAATAAAAAGATATGACCATATGGAAATTGTTCTTTGCGGGGAAGCCGAGTGTCATCCTTTCCTGTTTTGTTTGTCTCTGAGGCCTAGGTTAGGGCTGGAGCTGACTGGTGGTTAAATCTTCCAGTTTGTTGGATAACCAGGGCCATGGACCATAAGGTAACAGCACTCTACAGGGCTGGCAAAACTCAGCTCTGGGAAGTGTGGTGCAAACTCCACAACAAGAACTTGTTTCTGAAGAAAATATTAAAGGGGCAAAAAGTGGGGTGAGATTTTACAAGATCACTGGCAATGTAAATAAGAGAGAAGAGGAACCATAATGAATTGTAAGAGCCAGAGTGTGAAGTAGGGAATGTTTGAGACCAGCTCATCATAGAGCTGGTGGATGAGGGCAAAGAAGATTCTCTGTGAAATCAGTATCTTTATGAGGCTTTTCACTAGACTAGACCACCCAGACTGTTTAAAGAAGCTAGGGGAGGAGCACTGGACTGTTGGACACCATCCTGCTTCCCTGAGAGAGTATCGAGCCCCAGTGAGGACAAGACTAGAAGGTGAAGATGAAGAAAGTAGACCGAGATCACACCAAATAGTTCATTTATTCAATACATAATTTACTGAGCATCCTGCGTATGCCAGGCTATTGTTAGTAGAATACCTACTTTGTACTTGGGTATGTTTTGCTTGAAAATTTTCTCACCTCAAAGTAGGTATCACTAGCCCCATTTTGCAGATAAGAAAATAAGCTGTTAGAGGTTAAAACTGGCCAAGGTCATTAGCCAACGGCAGACCTAGCATTCAGATTCAAGCTGTGATTGCAAATTCCGTGCCTGGTCCTTTACACCATGCTGCCCAGCCAAAACAATGCTCCCCTCCTGCTATCTGGTCTACTGGGTCTCCCTTCTGCCGATGGGAGATGGGTCTGGGACATAGACCTGTCACCTGTTCTGCCCTCCTCTTTTTGAGGCCTCTAGTGATGCTGTCACTTCTGTACCTCCTTGCTAGTGTGCCCTCTCCACTATCAAATAACCTTAAACCAAGGAACAGCGTCTCACATTGGAGTTTTATCTGTCAATGGGAAAAGGAAAGTCTCCAGCCAGCCATCCAGCCTTTCATGACCTTGGGCTTCGTGAGGAGAGGGTCTGTCCAAGCTTCCCTCCTACTCCATAGTTGGCTCTGTCACAGGGCAGGAGGGCTGGGCACCATAGCAGTTGCTCATACATCAGCAAAGTAGAGCGCCTCTATATTGATGGAGGCTTGGAGAGTCTCCTCCCATCCGATTTACTGCTGAAAAGCTGCTGGAGGGTCAGCTGTAGGTCAGTTCTGACTCCATGGCATCACAACTACAGTCTACTGTGAATATGCCCAGATTCCGTTCTCTCCAGGCCCTAGATGCTCCCCTAACATCCTTTCTCGCAACATCCTTCTGGTCATCACCCCAGGATTAGAAACTTGTCCGGAGCCCTCTGCCCTGCTTTGTGTACATCCCTTCTGAGCACACAGAGCTCCACCCGATTCTAACATCCCCCACCCCACAATCAAACATGCATCTACCCTTTAAGAGAGAAAGGCACAGCTGTACACAGTTGGCAGCACTGGGGGTTTGGGAGCAGTGTGTGAATCTTAGAATTCAAATTCTCGATCAAAATAGCTTTTAGAGATATCCAAATTCAAGGACTCTGCCTGAGCCTGTTCTGCCCCAGCACCATCCTTTGGGAGCTGCAGGTTTCGGGGCCTGTGCCACCCTCCAAAGCCATGCACGTGTGACCAGAAGGCACGGGAAACAAGCTGAGTCGCATCCTGATGGAAACACAGGGGTCTTCCTCCCAGAGATATGTTCCTACCCGCCTTTCCCAGAATCCCTTCTACTTCACCTACCCTGTGTCCAGGCAGCTTTCTCACCTGTAAATTCTTTCCTTGGAGCCTCCACTTCCCTCCCACCCCTGCCTGGCTTGGACAGCACTTGCCCATCCTCTACACATTCAGCAACCAGCCCTGAGCACCTAGAGTCTGTCTTGGTCCCCACCCCTCTATATGTATTTTTTCACCACTCTGAGTATTTCCTGATACCAGCAGTTTCTTAGGTCCACTCCACACCTCTAAAATTAGAAGCTGCATTATTTTGCTCATTAAAACATGAGAAGCCCCCACCTCAACTATCTGATCCACTAAAGAGATGTGCCCTCCCTTTCCAGCTTCTTGTGTAAAGTCAAGAGTCAGCTCTCGGAGAGGAAATGGGGCTGAGACCCAAGGTTTAGGCCCCACGTTGGGCAGCAGAGATCCTAAGACTCAGGCACATGCTTCCTACAGCCCTCAGGAGTAAGCCCAGGACCTTCAGCAGAGACGACCAGCCATGGCAGAGCCACAGGAGAGAGAGGCAGAAAGAACCACTTGTAGCATCCAAACGAGGACTTGAGAGCAAAGTGTATCACAAGAAAGAGGGTGCATCTGCCTTTGCTGAGCATAAGTGGGGCTATTCCCTTAGGGTTCTGACCACTGTGTTGCCCCCCAGCTCCTGCCCAGCACGTCCAGCCAAGGTGCCTGTTGGGCTCCCACTGTCAGCCTGGATATGCCGGATGCTGGGCTTTCTTCCTCCCTCCTTCCCTCTTGCTGGCAAAGTCCCCATCGCCCACCAGCCGGATTACTCGTAGTGGGTGCTCAGGAAATGTTTGTTGAATTAAAAGGAAGCCACAGCTTGTGCGGAGTCTGGATAATTCACCAGACGTGGGCCTCAGGGGAGGGGCGAGAGTGGAGACTAAGTAGGAGAGACAAGTTCTATTGTCATACTTTGCTGGAGCCACTTCTCCACCTTGAGTCCCCGTCTGAGTCTGTGCTAGTGTGAGGCCTTGTCGTGGGGCGGGGAAGGAAGTGGGAGTGGGTGCACTTGGTGCCTGACCTGCAGGGGCTCTCAGTGGGAAGCTCCTCTCATCCTCCACCTTCACCCCAGTTTAGAGAGGAGACCCTTCCAGAGACCCCATGCTTCCCAAAGAAAATCTGACATCTGCTTTTCTATTCCCAGCCCAGCCCCTTCCAGCTATGTGGCCTTCTTCCCTCTGGGTCTCAGCCCATCATCACAAAGGACAGAAGGTTCCACAGGTAATTACTGAGAGTCCCCTGTTCTGCCATTCTGTGGGTCTGGGCTGTGAGTCACTTGGAGTCAAGGCAGGACATGGGAAAGCACAGGTTCTGACTGGTCATGCCACCAACCCCAGGCTACCTGAACCTGAGGAACTCAGAGCTGGCAGCTGGGACAAGAGACCATCCCTTGGGGATGACCGAGAGCAGGGAGCCAAGTGCCGGGTGTTTCCAAGCCTTGCCTTTTAAACATGGAAGGAAGCCTTGTGACCTGGGCAGCGGTAGGCCAGGACAGGGCTGACCAGGGGGCTACAGGGGAATAGAGCAGGAACTCTGCCTGCCCAGGAAACGATAAAAATGTGCAGAGAAGGTGCAGGGAATGAGACAGCCTCTGGCGTTATGACATCACTTGGCCAGAGAATTTGCCAAACTGCTTAGGCTGCCTGGCACAAGCCTCCAGCAACCAGACACTCATCACACAGGAGATTCAACTGAGCTCTTCCCTCCTCCTCTCCTCCTCCTGCTTCTAGGTGTCAGGAGCTGGGCTTAGCATCTTCCTGCAGGGCCAGGACCCCCCAGCCTGCTCCTCACACTGCCTGTGCCTCTTGCTCTTTGGCTGGTTCCTCTGGGAGGCCTGCTTCTCAGTGCCAGACCCTGCTGGGCCCCAGCCTTGGCAGATCTGTCTTCTCGGGGTTGTGGGACTCCTGATCCTTTCTGTGGCTCAGCACACATCTGGACTTCTGGCTTGTCCTTGTGGTCCATCCGTCCTGGAGACTGCTCTGAATCAGCCGCCAAAGACAAGGAGCCTTCCCGGACCTCAGGACCTAGACTGAACGTGCCCTCGCTCTCCCCAGGCCCAGGGCTTCTGGTCCCTCCCAGAGAAAGGTCAAGAGGAGCCAAGTCAGTCTGTTGTGGAGATCCAGGGGCTGAACTGACTGCCGAAGCCCTTAACTCCTCCTTCAGCCCGTCTGGCGAGGCCAGGGGTGGGCTGGTGGCTGGGGAAGCCCCAGGTTGGCCAGGCTCTGTTCCACTGTGCTGCTTCTGTCCGTGTTCCTCCTCACTTGGAATCTTTCTGGTGCTTTGGCTGCCCTGAAAAAAGAGATTAGCCTTGTGACTGGTAAAGTCAAAGCTCGTGTCTCCAGCCCACCCCACTCCAGCAAGCACCTACCTCATGATTCTCTGGTCCTTCCTTGTCGTCCTTCACATCCCACCTGTAGAAACAGCAGGCAGGCCTCATCCTACCCACTCCCACTTCACGTCATCCCCTCCATAGCTAGCGGCCATGGCCCCCAGGGAGAAGTTCAAGTCCAAAGGTCTCAGAAGGGATCAGAGCCTGAATGAGGCTCTGACTTTGTTCCCAAATCCAACTAAAGCCTTTGGACATCGCCCACCCTGGCCCCATCCCAGGTCCCCAGCTGCTGTTTATGGCTAAATATGCAGCACCTTGAGTTCTGTGGGGACTCAAGGCTTGTGCCTGCCTGCACTGCCTGGGAAAGGCAAGTCTGACTTCCCCTGAGGAAGGTAACAGCTGTAATTACCACCAGCCTCCCTGGGCACCAGGCGCTCACTGCCGCCTCCTTTGCTGATGGCCTCTCACGGCATCTCATTAACCTGCTGCCAAGCAGCAGTCAGCCAGGAGGCAGAGGCCCCAGGGGCTGAAGCGGGCACCTGGACCCATGTGGGCTCTGCTACTAGGGGGTAGAGGAGATTCAGGAAATCAGGAGTCCCAGATACCCCACCACCAGCATCACCTTGATGCTGCCCCTGCTCCTGTTACCTGCGGGCCCTGCCAGTCAGCCTTTCCTTCCCCCAGGCTCTGCTGCCTGTGGCTGGTGCCACCAAGGATCTGCCATGGTGCCCACCTCGAGTGGTACCACCTGCAAGAGGCGGCACACCAGGTCAAGGAGAAGAGAGCTGTTAACTTCTGTCTATACCTACACCTTCTCTTTCCCCAACTCACCTTTCCCATCAGGGCACAACAGTGGGGGCTGCAGCTTCCGGTGGCTCCTAGCACCTATGGGAGGCAAAGGCAAAGAAGATAAGGATGGGTGACAGAGGATCCAAGGCGGGAACACTGGTTCCTCTAGGACCATGAAGTCGTCAGTCCTCTTGACCCAACTGTGGGTTTTCTGCTTCCTGAAAAGAGCCCTGGGCATAGAGGGTCTTTTTTGTGGGGGAGGACATAGATGGTCTTAGGACAGGGTATCCTGTATTTGCTTTACCACCACTTCTTTCTGGGTGACTGACAAGTGACCTCACCTCTCCAGCACCAGCTTCCCCTTAGCATTAAATAAGGGGACCAGCAATACACTGAGCTCTATTCTGATAGTGAGGGCAGGGAATGACTGCCCAGTGAGAACTGCCACCCCAAAAGACCTCCAAAGGGCTCCAGGAAGATTTCCACCAGAGCCCCCTCCCATGACCGTCAAGAGTCAAGCCCAGGGCTCCCAGTAGAGCTGTGGGTTTGGAGGAGATGTGAGGAGGGAATAGTGCCCTCTGCTAATAGGAGAAGGATGCAGGAGGATGTTTTTTTATTCTTCTCTCCAGCCCTGAAAATAACTGGAGGCAAAGACAGAGAAGAGAGCAAGAGTCTGTGAGGGAGAAGAAAGAACCAAGGATCGAGAAGAGTGGAGTTGACTTACCCCTTTTGCCACCTCTGGCCAAGCCCTCTTCCTTGGGGTTGTTGGAGTCCTTCAGCCTGTATAGACAGAGAGAGTGAGCTGACAGGGTGGATGGAGGCTCCAGCTAGACCCACCCCACGCCACCTTCCCTATTGCAGCCCCAGAATGGAAAGCAGTCAGGAAGAGACAGACCACCTTGGAGAGGGTTCCCCCCAGCCCTCCAGCAGTGCCCACAGTCTACCCTGTCCCTGGAACTCCATGTATGTCAGTCAGCCCAGTAAGCCACCCAGCCCTGCCACCCACGTGGGCTTGGCCTTGTCCAGGTCCCACGGGCGGCGCCAGTCACCCTGTGCATCTCTGTGCCGGGCGAGGCGGGCCAGGTCGATCTGCTCCCGTTCCTGCTTCCACTGGTCATAGTCCCAGCCCCCCTCTGCTGGCCTCCGGGAAGCAGGGCCTGGGACCCAGCCTGGACTCCAAGGCTCCCGGGCACTCTGTGAAGAGAAGACTTTCAGCATCATGGGATGCAAGTAGAGGGAGCACAAGCGTTGAAATGGAGACCTGGAACTGCAACCAACCCCCTATGCCTCTCAGCACTTGGACTTCTCGTCTAAGTATTAAGTCTGTTGTATTTCTACATGGTGTGTTTGCATGAGCATGGTCTCCATCCTCTATTTTAGCTGTGTGTGTTTTTCCTCAAGTTCCTTAGTATCTTTTCTACATCTGTAAAATGAAGATAATAATAGTACATATCCCACAGGTTTTGAGAGTGAGGGGCACCCAGTGTGAGCAAGAGCAAGGACTGGGGACTGCTGCCACCTAGAGGTCACACTTGGCAAATGGCCAGTCCTCCCTTCCCCCAACACCCATCCCACAGTGGTCCAAGAAGAGGCCAGGGCTTCAGATGCATCTGGGCTGGAACACATCTCTTGGTCACACTTTCTTTAATAAGGCCTTTCTCTGCACGCCACCCCAAGTGGAGACTGCAGAGAAAGGAAGGAGGGGTGGGAGTTCTCAGTGCTGCGGTGGCCACGTCCCTGCATGTCTGACTAAGCATCTCTCTGTCCCCCAGATGAGGACCTTCACTTTCATGTCCCTGTCCTCTTTTGAAGATGTACCTTCCGTGCAGAATCAGAGCCAGCAGTGATCTGTGGTGAGGCACCCCGCCCTAAGCCCTCTCCAGGTGACCCGTCTGCCCCCTGGTTCCTTGCTCTGGTGGGCTTTTCACTTACAATCCTCTTGGCCTGGGAGAGATGAGGGAAGAAGAGTCAGCCCTCCTGGAGGCTGGATCCCTCCCTGCCCCCTACCACCTGCTCACCTCAGCTTTGTTTTCCATGGTCACAGCCAGCTCCACTCGCTCCCCCAAGCAGAAAGCAGCAATGTAGTCCTCATCCTCAAGCATCTCGCTGGCCACAACGGTACCCATGCCACTCCTAGTCCAGTTCCTGCTGACCACTCGTTTCTCCTGCAAGCCACATGGGCAGAGCTAGGAAGGGGCTGAGTGCTGCTTCCTTTGGGTGTCTCCCCAGGCCCAGGTCCCAGACCCAGCACTGGCCCTCCCAGGAATGCCCTCGGAGAAGTTGACTCTCGCTCTCACATGCCAATGGCATTAGGTTATCCAGGGCCTAAGGCCATGAGGGCCTAAGATACCACAGTGGCCCATCATCTTTGAGCTGGGAAATCCAGGGCACTCAGACAATGAGGCTTTGTCCCTTAGATACTGTTCTTGGCATTTAACTGCCCCTCACTTCCTGTGGGATGTTTAACCCGTGGGGTTTGGAGTTTAGGAGCAGCCTGTACTTTGGGAAATTTGTGCAGGGTTGTGGGTCTGAAAAAGGGACACACAAGCTTCCAGATGATGACCTTTGGGCTTTCCCCCTTTGGGGGGCAGTGGTAGTTGAGGCTATGGGAACTGACGGGTACACCCCAGAATAGTAGGTGGGAGGAGAAGAGGAGATAGGAGTGTCTTCCCCTGACAAGGCTGGACCACCCTCCTTGCTGCCACACCCCGTTTCCCTGTCTTACACCAGGAACTTGGCTGATGGTGACGGTGAGGCTGTCAGGTTGGAGAGGCTGAGGCACACTCACAGCCATGCCCCCCTGCTCTGCCTGCCGCCGGTCTTCCTGGATCTCCTGTGGGAGGAGCTGGGGTCAGCACAGGCCACAGCCCCCAGATGCACAGAGACACAGACACCAACAGGCCTACACAGAAAGACACCAACGGGACTCCAGGGGGCAGAGGCACCATGTCACAGTCCCTAGACCTTTGATCAAGCCGCAGAGAAGGGCCCTGCCCATCCAAGTCCTAGCCCCAAGCTCAGACACATGGTTCCCAAGCCTGTGGGAGGTGTGGATGCTAGGAGACTCGCCATGCAGGATCTGCAGGTCAGCAGGGGTGTGGCAGCCGAGTCCGTCCTCATCCCTGCAGCCCACTTACCTGGTACCTGCGCAGTAAGGCCTGGTTCTTCTTGCGGAGGGCAATTATCCTCCGGTCCAGCTCTGCATCCTTCTCCTCCTGCCTGCTCACTGGGGACTCAGCCCCAGGAGGCCCCTGCAAGAGGAGGAGGACTGAGTTCCAGGCTCCTGGGGCACCCCACATTCCCAACTTTCACAGTTACCCACCTAGATGAAGAAGTCTCCCAACCCAGAGCTAGGGGTCACACAGGAAGGAAGATGAAAACTTGGGGAGTAGCATATCAACAGCAACAAGACCCCTCCCTGACCAAGCCTGTTTGCCTCTCTCTCCCTCCTGGGGGCTCGGGTCTGGGTCCTCCCCATACCCAGGCCTACTGCTCCCAGCAATGAGATGCCCTTCCCCCAACTCTCCAGGGAGCTCAATTGCCAAGCAGAGCCTGGAATGGGAGTTATAAATGGCTCTGGCAACAGAACCTGCCGTGACTGGGAAACTGCCAGGGGATTCGGGAGGTCAAGGGCGGTATGGGGGGGTGCCTATTCAGCTCCCAGGCCCAAAACCACAGTAAAAAGAGAGGTTCCTAATTCATTCTCAGCTCCCAGACCCTAGACCCCACTCCCCAGGCCTATAGCTATGCCCATCCAACGGGGCCCAGCTTCTCCAGGCTGTGAGCTGCTGACAGTCTCAGCCAGACCTGGTTGGTGCGTGGGCCGGCGAGGAGCCACCGTAGGTAGACCATGCTTCTGGAGTGAGATTCCCAGGTCCCTCTCTACCTGGCTGCAAGGTCTCTGCTGTAGCCAGTGCCACTGCCCAGCCCCCTACCCAGCCCCCTACCCTCCAGACACAGCCCTCTTCTTCCCAGGCCCAGCTGTCCCCAGCTGCCCTTAGAGTGTGACTGCCTACAATCCCAGCCACTCCCACCCTAGACCCACGAAGCCCCCTGCCAAAGGCAAGGTGCCACTCACAGCCAAGTGCATGGCCACAGCAGGCACCGAGAGGATTCCAGAACAGCCCTGGGGGAGCCGGGCTGGGAGGGAAGCTGGAGCCACCAGAGCCGGGCCTCTGCTGGCCTCTCCCTGCCGGCTTCACTGCTCAGCACACGAGATCATGTTGTGATTACAAAAGACTCCTCTGGGCTCCCAGCCAGGAATGCCGCGGTCACCGCCCCCACCCATCCACTCTGGGAGGGCGAGGACCAGGGCACTGGCGGCCAGCTGGCCCTGCCCAGCACCTCTCCCTGCCCCAGCGTCCCCAGGCAGACTGTCAGAGCTGCTCCCCGGTGGGCCAAGCCCACACAGGAGGCCCTGCCGACACCAAAGCCTCCGTGCACCAGCAGAATGCCAGCCTGGGCAGCACGAAGACAGATGGGCAACAGTGTCCCTCTCATTCAGCAGAAGGAGGCCTACACTGCACAGCCCAGCCCGTCCACCCTGGAGTCCGAGGGTCCCACCCTTGATGTCCTTCCACTTTCCTGTTCAGTTTAAGTAATTTGAAGGAATCAAGAAGATCACTTCACCCCACAACCTCTCTGCCCCTCAGGTCCTCAAACAGTACCACATAACTAAAATAACACCATTAGTCATTCATTCCTTAGATTGAACATTGTCCTTCTTATTTAAAACACAGCCACTTCTGGGAGGCTCTGCTCTTTGGGTTTCTAGCCCTTTGGTACCGGAAGCAAGGCCTTCCTCTGGGGCCCTGGCCGCCAGCTCCAAGCTGACCCACAGCCTTCCTGCTCAAGCTCCTACTCCAGACCCTTCCGGCCTTACTTTCCAATTCTGGTCCTTTCACCTTCTCTGGGCTTGGTCTATCAGCCGGCTAGCCCTCAACTCCCTTGCCCTCTCTCTGACATGGAGAAAGGAAGCTGCTATTTTCCCCATGCAGTTGCCACTGGTCTCCTTGTCCAGAGCAGCAGCACCCCATTTAGAAGTACCCCCTGAAGCCTGGAGCTTGAGGGTTCTGCAAAGAGGGTGGTCCCTGTGTGGTCAGGGTGTCTTTGTCAGTAGTTACAGGAACCCAACTTCCGTATCACAAGGTGAGGGTCAAAAGCCTTTGCATTCCCCTTACATCTTGACTGGCAGGGTCTTAGTTCCCCTAACCCCAGGCCACAACTTGTACCATTCTGTCTCTGGGGCAGAAATCCCTGCTGCCTTCTCACTCCTCCCTAGACCAGCCCAAGCAGCCAGAGGTCTAGCCTAGAACTGCCCCCAAGGAACTACCCTGCACCTCACCCTCTCCACCACAAGCCCCTTTCCTGTTCAGGCCTTCACACGCTACCCCTGACCCCACACCCGATCTCCATCACCCCAGAGTTCCCATCCTGCTTGGAAATGCCACTGCGCTCTCATCTTCCTTTCCTGCCGGATGTTCCCACTGAGTCAGACTTGTCTACTTTCCCAGCGACAGTGACACACCAGGCTCCTCACCCCGGGCCTCTCTCTCACACATGCACACACACAGCACAATACACACACACACACACACACACACACACACACACACATTCACATACATGCCCCCTCATCCTCCCACCCTCTCCTTGTTCTACCCCACACAGGCTACTGAGCCGCAGCCCAGTCTCAGAAGAGCAGGGGCAGAGCCCCGGGTGGGTAGTGGTCACACTTCTCACCCACACCACACTGTTGCCAACCTGGGAAACCCACAAAGCACTGACCTAGGATGAGGAGATGGTAACCAAGACCTAATGTTCCCAACTTCTTTGGAATCTAGGAACCCACGCCCAATATAGGAAAGGGTGTAGAGGGAAGAGGCCCCAGGGGTGAAGCAAGATCTGCTGATCCCTGGGCTCTGTTCCCAGCCAGGTTAGGGGCAGGAGAACAGTAAAGGGAATAGGTGGAGCAGCAGGGAGAGGTTGAAATCTACCCAATTCATAGGCAGGAAGGTTGAGCCAGCTTTTCTGGAAAGGTCTGCAGGGAGACACTCCCCTAATCTAGCGGCAACAGCCCAACAGGCTGAAGGCCCATGTGCCTGGGACAAATCAACAGTCAGGACAGGGACTCTTTCAGCCGCTGACTGTGTCCTTCCCTCATGTTACTCATATTCAGACTTGTCGCTGAGCTTTCTCCTGGTATCACCAGAGTCTGCAATTTGCCTGCCTGCTTCCCCATTGAACAGAGGATCCCTGAGGGCAGGTATAGTGTGCCAAGACTCCTGGGTCCCCAGTGCCCGGCACAGTGAGTGTCCTTGCACATTACAGATCTCCACTGTTGCTTGAAGAATGAAGCATTGAGGGTTAGACCCCTATTCTCACGCATAATTGTAGCATCCTGTGCATAGGCTGAGACTCCTTTTATTTACACTAAGGATGGTGAAGGGCCCTGAAGTGCCCTGGATGGAAGCCCCAGTTGGCCCAGGTAGAAAGTGCATCAGTGTGACCATAGCGCGAGTACTCCTTGTCACCACTAGGGGGCAACCCAGTCACAAACATCTCGGAACTGACTCCGAATAGACAGACCTTCCATTGGGTTTCCAAGGCTGTAAATCGCAAGGGAAGATACGGCCCATCTCGCTCTCGCATAGCCAGCCTTACGTGGATTCGAACTAGCATTTAAGTGCGTCCTTTGGGTAAGCAGCACAGCTCGCCGCGGACTCCAACAGAGCGCCCCCTGTTGAGAGCAGGTGCAGTGATTCCTCCCTTTTCTTCTCTCTTGCTCTTAAGGTCCCTTCTCAGCCTAGAGAAACCATCCATCCATTTGTAGAAAATCTTTTTTACTGATGAGGAAACTGAGACCTGGAGGAGCGATGGATCAGCCCAGGGCTGCCCAACGCCTGTTTTGTAGCACAGATGAAACTAGATGTTTCAGCGGCTGCCCAGCCAGCGCTGTTTCAGCTGATGCTTCTCTTAGTGCCCTCCCTCCTCCTGCCTGGGAAAGGGCTGATTGTTTAGCACCTCAGGGCATGAACCAGGTATTGACTCTTCCCAGCCGGTTTCCTCCCTGGCTGTCTCCCAGCTCAGCAAATAGTCCCACCCTTGGGAAGAACCAAACCCAAGGTCCCTAATACACAGACTCTCAGCCTACTCAGACTCTTGGAGCCAACTCTGAGGACAAAGTGGCGTCGGGACTGGGGACCCTCCTCCCTGGGAGGCTGTGTCCTTCCCTCATGTTATTCACACTCAGGGATGTGCCTCTGGGAGCACAGACCTGATCAAGGCCAGTGCGTGTGGATCAGGGCGTCAGCTGTTTCTCAGACCACAGCCACTATTTCCAGAATGGCTGCCTCTGTGGATGGCTGTTAACAAAATGTAAATTCTCCAGCAGATTCCCCTCAATCTCACTGAAAGATGTGGCCGGGTAGCATGGTACATTCCAGATGAATTTTGCCCCTCACTGGCTGTGTGACTTTGGGTGAGTCTCTCTGATCCTCATTTGTAAGACGAGGTGTATCATGTAAGTCTTCCTACACCACCAGGTCTTTGGGAAGATGAATTAACACAGGTAACATCACTTCTGCAACAATGCATCACCCAAAGCAGGCTCCCTTGCCTTGGCCAACTCTGGGATCCAGAGGTCACACAGTGAAAGACTATCTGCCCAGCATCCTTTGAAGACTCCTAAACGTCATCTCCCAACAGCTATCTGGGGCTGAAACACATGGGTTCTGGAGACCATTTGTGGCTTGGTGGGGAAGATTCTGGCAGCCCCTTGGCATCCTCGCTGTACCTTTCTTCACATGTTCCCTGTCAGGAAATTCAGGATCTTTACCTACTCCTCCATTCATTCCCTGCTCCCTCTGAAGCCCCAGCTCTGCCTGCCATCTGTCCTCAGCTCTTCTTCATGCCCCTGACTGTTACTGTGCCTCTGGATCCCTGCAGGTCAAGCCCCCAGTTCATAGATCATTGCTCAAACGACCTTTCTTGGCTGAGACTGAGCCCTTAGAGGTCACTGGCTCCACTTACTGGCTCTGGGTGTGTGAGTGAGCATTGAGAAAGGAAGTGGAGCAAGGTTGAGTAGCTATGAGGATAGCTACTAACTGAGGTAGGTTACCCTCAGAATTAGAAGAGGCGGAGAAGGAACGAGAGTGGCTGAAAACATGGGATCTGTTTTCTACAAACCCATTGCCCACCCCTCCCTGTGGCCACTCTGATCTTCAGAAACTGTTGTCCTGACTCTGGCTAGCTGGAAGTCTCTGTGGAGCCCCACAGGCCAGGCGAGGCCTCTGGAGACTCCACAGTTGCCCTGGTGGAAAGGACTGTAAGTGCAGGAGGTAGGGCTGGAAGGATCAGCCCTGGATGGGTTCCAGTTGCTGGGGACAAAGTCTGGGCCACACCCCTCCCACCCACACATGCCACTGCAGGGCAGGGCCCAGGTCGAACCTTCTGAGGTGTCAGGAGACAAACCAGGGTTGATCTGGGACCTACTTCTCCATTACATTCTCCAGGGTCCAGCCAGAGCTGAGGTATCATGAGTTTCCAAGATCCAGGCCCAGGAATGGGAAGGGAATACTGGGTGAAGCAGAGCTTCTGGGTTTCCTTGTTCAACCTCTTTTCTCCATGGAAGGAGTATAAAGAACTCAGAGTTTTTCCAGAAGCATCTGCCTCAACCCTAGTCCAAAGCCATCAACTATGTCATCAATACTTACACTGATAATAATAATTATAGTGCTTTACACTTACACCTTACACTTCCAGAACCCACACACATGTGATATCATTTGATCTCTTCAAGCTTTGAAATCTGTGAAGTTGTCAGGGCAGGTATTATTAGCTTCTCCTCGGAGATCAGGGTCACTCTGTGATGGGCCAGAGAGCCTCTCCCCCTCATCTGCCCTGTTTCACTGAGCTCAGTGGCCCAACTCCCAATGCACAGTCTCCAGCACGTGACCAAAAGACACCCCATTACCCTCATGCCATGAGAAATCTATGCACCTCAGGGAAGGTTCACCCAAACTGTATAAAGTTCTCACAGTCCTACAGCCGTCTCCACCCCTCATGGGAGCGCACAGGTAGGGAGTCCTTGCTGGCTCTGCCAAGGAGAAGTTGGGGACCAAGTGAGGGTAGAAAAGCCTACTCCTGGGCTTCACTGTGAGGCCTTATTCACCTGATGCATCTCACCACCCCTCAGCTTCTTCCTGGTCCCCTCTCTCCCAG